GCCCCCAGAGCTTGAGGAGGGGGATTTTATCTGACACATCCTTTCACAATTTACTTTAACGTGACATGAAGCAGGCAGTCAGCAGCTGGTGGAGCAGGGAGCAGGTGATACCTGTGTCCTTGAGTGAACACAGGCATGGACTCCCAGGCCGTTAATGTTGCAGGCCATTTGAAGCCATCTAATCCAATTCTTCCATTGGACAGATGGGGAAACAGAGGCCCAGGCAGGGCAGTGACCAACCTAAAGTCCTAAGGCATACTCAGGACTACATGCAGTCTAGGCCTCTGGGCTCCCAGACTAGTATTCTCTCCACAGCATCAGATGGTCTTGTGTCTTTGGGCTTCTGGTGATTGTTGTTGCTGTAGAGTCAATTCTGACTCATAGCAAAACCATGCATGCAGAGTAGAACTGCTCCCTAGGATTTCTAAGGCTGTGACCTTTCAGAAACAAATCACCAGGTCTGTCTTCCCAGGTGCTTCTGGGTGGGTTTGAACTGCCAACTGTTTGGTTAGTAGTCGAGTGCTTAGTCATTTGTGCCACCCAGGAACTGGGCTTATAGTAGGAAAAGAAAATATACACCAGCTGCTCCTTCCCTGGATTCACTCCCAGTGCACCCTCCCCAGAGAGTCTCCTTGAATGATAACCACGCAGTGTGGTGGAGCAGAAAGAACATGGCTTAGGGACCTGATAGATTTGGGCTCAAAGCCAAACCATGCTACTCCCTGAGCTCTGAGACTTTGAGCAAGTTACTTAACTGTGAAGTTTTGTCATCTGAAAAGTGGAGATAACAATACCTCCCTCGCAGGGTAGTCCTGGGGATTAAATGAGATAATACACATCAATTGTCCTTGTAGCACAATGCCTGGCAGGTAGTGCACCCTCACGTGGTAGTCATTTATTATTGTTCTGCCCCTCCAGGGTTCTATTTCTGCTCCCAGTGCAGTATTCCTCTGCCTGTCTCTGATGGTGGTCTCCCTGGGGGTGTGCAGGGGCTCCTACAGCAGCTGAGCCAGCCCTTGGAGCATTTATCAGGTTGTCCAGGAAGGCAGGGACATACCTTGGTTAACTGGCTTTGTTGTTGTTGTCTTGCTGTCGAGTTGGCCCCGACTCATAGCGACCCCTCCTTGGGTTTCCGAGGCAGTATCACTATGGAAGTAGGATTGCCCAACCTTCCTTCCGAGGAGTGGCTGGTGGGTTTGAACCGCCAGCTGTCTGGTTAGCAGGCAAGTGTCTTAGCCACTATGCTACCAAACAATAACAACAAATAACCCTTGGTTTTGATTACAGTGAAATAACACATCCTTTTGGATTACAACATAAAATTTTAAAAATATACTGAAAGTTGAGTGTCTAATTATGCATGGGTGGGATAACTTTTCCTGTGCAAAAAGACTTTCAGTTTACAAAGGGATTCAGGCAAGGTTCCTTTAAATCACCAGTTCTACTTAGAGCTCTTACTTAATTTTCTCAGTATGATTCACATCAGCTCTCCAGGAGAAGGCCTTTTGCCCCTGACAGCCTTGTCAGCCCTGGCCTCCTTCTCAGGCTTCCTTGGGTTTTGAGCTGGATGGAATAGCAGAATCCTGAGTGTGGACAAAAGACTCATATTTCATTGAGACCTCATTGCTTGTAAGATGCACTGTGGTTTTATGCACCACCAGGGGGAAAAAAAAAAAAACAAAAACGTTAATTCTAAGTGTGAGATACCACTGACTATAAAACAAATTCTGATTTCAGAAATGTTAAAATATTTAAAAAACATGCATTTTAGAATCAGTAAAAAGCAGGATCAGCTGGAGAAGTTGCCACTAATGGCAGAATGAGAATAGACAAATGAGGGTCAATACACAGATTATGCTTGGATTCATTTCACCAAGCCAGTGGCTGTTGAGTGGGCTCCAACTCATGGTGGCCCCATGTGTGTCAGTGTAGACCTGTGTTCTGTAGGGTTTTCAATGCCTAATTTTTCAGAAGTAGATTGCTGGTACTTCTGCTTGGACTTGAGCCTCCAACCTTTTGGTAAGCAGCTGACTGTGTTAATCTTTTGAACCACCCAGGCACTTCATATTTGACTTATCCTAATTTTTTTTCTTTGTTAATGAAAACACTAATCCATTGGCTCTATGAGGGTAGAGCTTGACCCTGTTTTGCTTATCATTTTATCCCCATTATTAGCTCATAGTAGGTGTTCAATAAATATTTGCTGAATGAATAAACAAAGCAAAGCAACCTTATAAAATATGTGGAAAAACCCAGAAGAGAAACTAAATCATTCATAATTCCCCCACTGTGGGTATTTTGGCTTATTTTCCTTCTAGTCTTGTTTCCTATGAATATGCTCTTTTATCTACATATAAACATAATGTATTATTAGATTTAGCTCTGGGATATGTTTTTGTATTTCTCTATTAATATGAATGAAATGATGAAATGAGATGATGTGGAAATGCTTTGAAGACTGTAAAATGCTTAACAAAATCTTATTATTAGTTATAATAATCACAGTAATACTGATATGAATGAGGTTGATTTTCTGAGAATACACTTCAAAGCAAACAACAAATTCGCTCTCTGAAGCTGGGAATAGGTCTTGCACCCTCCTCACAATGGGAAGTCCCTGTTTCACATTGGAAATACAGAGACTTAACAGTTCTTGGAAGTCATCAGCTCCCACTTCCAAACCAAAAAAAAAAAAAAACAAAAAAACCAAATTCACTGCCATAGAGTCAAATCTGACTCATAGTGAATCCTCCTTGGGTTTCCAAGGTGGTATCACTACAGAAGCAGATTGTCCAACCTTCCTTCTGAGCAGCTGGTAGGTTTGAACCACCAGCCCTCTGGTTAGCAGTCAAATGCCTTAGGCAATACGCCACCAGAGCTCCCACTTCTAAACTAGCCTAGAAATTTCTTCAGTATCATTGGTGGGGGATAAATGGGGAGTGGAAGAGGAATGTGCGCATCTCAGGCTGATGAAAAACAGCTACCTACACAGAACTTCCTCCTCTCCAACTTCTCTGTCTGTGGGAAGAAGCTATGCTTTGGATTTCAAAGAACGTTGCTCACTTTCTTTGCATGCTAATTGCAATGTAGACATGAAGAGATGTCAACACAAGTAAGTAATTCATGATAGTGGTGGTAGGTATGTTCAACAAACCACAAAATCAGATTTGTCTTGGACAAATAGCAAAAAATTCACCTGTAGAAAGCCAGTTAATTCATGTACATGCTTAGTGGTCTGACTAATGCAGGGCCTCTTGAAGGGAGATGGGTTTACTTGTATAACATGTAGAAATGTTGACCAAGGCTACTAGTCTAGACTCCGAACTCACCCACACTGCCCCTCTCTTTGTCCAATTTGACCTGCTAGTCCATTTCTCACTCTTCCTGACTCAAATCTTCAGCCCTGAACTTTGCCTCCTCTTACCATCTGCATCCCACCACCTGTCTGTCAGTTTGTTGTTCTGTGGTGGCTTGGGTGTTGCTATGATGCGGGAAGCTATGCCACTGATAATTGAAATACCAGCAGGATCACTCATGGTGGACAGGTTTCAGTGGAGCTTCCAGACTAAGACAGACTAGGAAGAAAAGTCTGGCAAGCTACCTCCAAAAATTAGCCAGTGAAAACCTTATGGAGGTCACAACAGAACATTGTCTGACTCACTTACTTAGGAAACATCATTAGGCATGATCAGCCACTGGAGGAAGACATTATGTTTGGTGAGGTAGAGGGTCAATGAGAAGGTAGGAGACACTTGGTCAGATGGATTGACACAGTAGCTGTAACAATGAACTTGAACACTCTAGCATTTGTGAGGATGATGCAGGATAGGGCCACATTTTATTCTGCTACACAAGGTCCTCGTGGATCAAAGCTGACTCAACTGTCTGCATCAAGGATGTATTTTCCCAGTTGCATCACTCAGTTCACACCTTGCACCCTCTAAGACATTGTACTTTTGCTTCACCACCTGCTTCAGTCACTGGGGAGCTTGTAGCAGCCAGGCCAACCTCCTAGCATACACTGCTGGCTTAGAGACTTTCTCCCTAAATTGGGAAGGCCTCTGTTTTGAAACAGGAGCTCTGGTAGCATAGTGCCTAAGGCATTTGACTGCTAACCAGAAGGCTGGTGGTTCAAACCCACCAGCCACTCCTCAGAAGGAAGGTTGGGCAATCTACTTTGGCAGTGACACTGCGTCAGAAACCCAAGGAGGGGTCACTATGAGTCGGGTGTGACTCGACGACACATAACAACAACAACCCTTTTGAAACATAAAATTTGTGTCAGACATGAGGCTGTACCATCAGCATGGTACTATGGACTGGCAGAGTTGATGCAGTGGTCCTGGCTGTCTGGATGTTATCCTTTTCCCAGCACCTGCTAAATTAAAGGGCAGGCAGAATCCCACCCATCAGTCTTCTCCCACTTAAACTCTGTTATAGGAGAGTGGCACCCCATTCCTTTGCAGGTTGCTCTGAATTGTGGTGAAGCACAGCAAACCCTGGCTAGCAGTCTCCTTATGGCTCTATACCCTATCTCCCCCTTTTTTTATTGAACTTTCATAGCCTACTGCTACAGAATATTCCAGGGGAGTGGGAACCTCAGTGAAATTAAAAATATAAAACAGCTGAGCTTCCCCTCACACCCAATTTTAGGAACCAAGAAGGGGAACAGGAGAATCAGGTGGTGGAAGGTAGCCGACACATTTTTCCTCTCCAACCTTTGCTAGCAATGGGAAGAAGCTAAGCTTTGGGTTTCAAAGAACACTGTCCATTTACTCTGCATGCTAATTGCAGCACAGACACATGGAGAGATGTCAACATAAATAATGACGCAAACTGAGGCTTTCAAGGTAAGTCCTATTAGCAAGCCCAGCCCCGATCTAGCCTCCTGGGTGGATTCAGAGCCAGCCAAGGGTGAGAGCAGCATTTCTCCTCCTCTCACCTCTGTGGGGGACAGAGCAGGCCAAAGACCACCGATGGAGGAAGCCTGGGGAACTTACCCTCTGCTCCTGTGTGGCCACGAAGGTCTGGAACCCTGGAGCTACCCCGAAGCCCAGTTCTTGGATGAAAGGTGGCTCAGACTGACTGTGAATCTGAACTTTCACTCCTGCTTCAAACGTCGTCTCCTCTGAAAGAACAAAATTGGACAGAGCGTGGGTCAGTGGCACAGATGCTCAGGAGTGTTGGGTTTGAAAAAGCCAAAAGGGACCCTAGAAAGCTCAAGTGGTGGGCAGAATATGGTTGGTGCCGTCAAGGTGATTTTGACTGATGGCCACCCCTGTGTGCAGAGCAGAACTGTGTTCAAAGCGTTTTTAAGGCTGTGACTTTTTTTTTTTTTTTAAACATTTTATTGTGCTTTAGGTGAAAGTTTACACAGCAAATTAGTTTTCCAATCAATAATTCATCACAAATTGTTCTGTGACGTTGGCTGCAATCCTCACAATGTGTTGGCACTCTCCCCTTTCCTACCTGGCTTCCCATTTGCATTCATCCAATTTCCCTGTCCTTCCCTGTCTTCTCATCTTAGGTTTTGGGTAAATGCTGCCTTTTTGGTCTCATATAGTTGATTGTTTTAAGAAGCACATTCTTCACGAATGTTACTGTTTATTTTATAGTCATGCCTATTATTTGGCTGAAAGGTAGTCTCTGGGTATGTCTTCAGGTTCAGGTTAGAAGGTTGTCTCAAGGCAACAGTCTCAGGGGCTCCCCCAGTTTCTTCTTGTCCTGTAAGTCTCATTTTTTTTTTTTTTCAGACTTTGAATTTTGTTCTACATTTTTTATCCATTCTAACTGGGAACTTCTATTGTGGTCTTGATGAGAATGGTCAGTACTTGTAGCTGGGCACCATCTAATTCTTCTGGTCTCAGGTTAGGGAGGTTGTGGTCCATGGGGGCCATTAGTCATTTGGACTAATCGCTTCCTTAAGTCTTCATTTCTCTTCATTCTCCTTTGCCCCAGGCAGGAAGAGACCAGTAGTTGCTTCTTAGATGGCCACTCACAAACTTTTAAGACCACAGACGCTACTCATCAGACTGGGATGTAGGACATTATCTTTATGAACTGTGTTTTGCCAACTGACCTAGATATTCTTTGAGGCTATGGTCCTTGGCCTTCAAGTCCAGTGGTTCAGTCTCAACGTCTAAGGAGTCTCTACAATGTGCCCTCATGTGCTACATTATACATAGGCATATGTGCAGCATTTGCAAATATGTATATAGAAATATCCACCATGATACCTGCACATGTACTTGGGTATATTCCCGTATTCCCTCCCTCATCTATTTAGGATACATATTTACCTATGTGTCTACTCACAAATTGTCATTAGCTGTTACTGCTGCTCTAGGGCTGTGTACGTTATAGCATTTACTATAGTTGTCCTTTTTCTTGCATCTCTCAATGTCTTCCTCTGCCTTGGTCACATTGTGCTGACTTCTGCCATGTTGTTTTTCCCTTCACCAGAATTAACTCTTGTCTACCATCTAGTTAGTGCTTCTACTTCCCCCTACCTTTTTTCTTTAAAAATGCATTTTAATGAAATATAATTTATGTACAGTGAAATACACAAAACTAAAGTGACATAGGTTGATGCTTTTTTTTTTTTTTTTTCCCCTTTTGTAGTGTTTCCTCTCCTCCCCTCCCACCCCTGGTAACCAACAAAGAATTTCCTTCCATATACAAACCTTTCCCTGACTTTTTACAATAATGAACTAATACTGTATTTGTACTTCTGTGATTGACTTATTTCACTCAGCATAATGTTCTCCAAGTTCATCCATGTTATGTGGTGGTCAGCAGATTCTACATTATTCTTTAGTGTTGCATAGTATTCCACTGTGTGCATGTACCATAGTTTGGTTATCCATTTTTCTGTTGATGGACATCTAGGTTGTTTCCATCTTTTTGTTATTGTAAATAGTGCTGCAATGAACATAGGTGTGAATCTATCTGTTCTTGTCATGGCTCTGATTTCTTTAGGATATATACCTAGTAATGGGATTGCTGGGTCAAATGGTATTTCTAACTTCAGCTTTTTAAGGAATCACCATACTGTTTTCCACAGTGGTTGCATCATTTTATAGTCCCACCAGCAGTGTATGAGAGTCCCAATCTCTCCACATCCTTGCCAGCATTTGTTATTTTCTGTCTTGTTGAACTTTGTCATTAGTGCTGGGGTGAGATGCTATCTCATTGTTGTTTTGATTTGCATCTTGCTGATGGCTAATGATCATGAATATTTCTTCATGTATTTGCTGGCCGTCTGAATATCCTCTTTGGTGAAGTGTCTTTTCATGTCTTCTGCCCATTTTTCAATTGGATTGTTAATATTTTTGTTGTTCAGGTGTTGGAGTTTTCCATAAATTTTAGAGATAAGTCCCTTCTCAGATATGTAATTATTGACAAGTATGGATTTGTTGCTGTCATTTTGCTATGTGCTTTTCATGGTGTTGATTTCTTTGTTCCATATAGTTTTCTGTGCTGAACTCATTTGTTTATGAATCATGTTATCATTTCCTTCATTGCTATTGTTTTAATATTTGCTAAATATCTGTGCTGGTCCTCTTTTTATTTTTATGTGAAGGTTTATCATTTTTCTTTGATGTTACCCTGTGATTTATGATTTTCTTCCCAAGTTTAGAACAGTCTGTTCTATCTTGTAGTTGTCTTGACTTCCTTACCATTTAGAAGTTCTGTAACTACACAATATTTTCCCCTCTTTTTGGTTTGTAGTTGTCCTCATTTGTCAATTGATGTCTCTGACTCCTTGTTTACAATCTTGTAGGTTTATTTACTTTGGATAGTTCTATAACTGGGTTGGTTTCTGGGTTATATCATTATGTGTGTTAATGGCCAGTTGTTGTTTGCTGTTGCTGGTTCTCCATCCAAAGGACTCCCTTTAGCATCTCTTGTAAGGTTGGTCTGGTTTTAACAAATTCCCTTAATTTCTGCTTATCTGGAAATGTCCTAATTTCACCATCATATTTGCAGAACAATTTTGCGGGTATATAATTCTTGGTTGGAAATTTTTCTCCTTCAGGGATTTATATACACCATCCCATTGTCTACTTGCCTTCATGGTTTCTGCCGAGAAATCTGAGCTTAGTCTTATTGGTTGCCCTTGTAAGTAACTTTTTGCTTTTTCCATGCTGCTTTCAGGATTCTTTCTTTGTCTTTGGTTTTGGTGAATTTGATGATGATATCTCTTGGTGGCAGCTGCAGGGATCCAGGTGAGGGAAGGGAACCTAGGCCATGCCCCACAAGCAGCAAGGCAGGAAAGCAGGTGAAAGGAGAGGAAAAAGACCAGGGGACCAGGACAGAGTGAGGAGGCAGCAGCAGGGATCCAGGTAAGGGGAGGTTGGAGAGGTTTCAAACAGCTAAGGGAGACAAGCTTGTCTGTCAGTTTGTCCTACTGTGGTGATGTGTTGCTGTGAGTCTTGAGGCTGTGCCACCAGTGTTTCAAACCCAGCGGGGTGCACATGGTACACAGGTTTCACTGCGGCTTGCAGACTGAGACAGACTAGGAAGAAGGAAGAAGCCATTCACTTCTCAAAGAACTGGCCAGGGAAACTTTATGAATGGCAGAGAAACACTTTGATACATTACTGGGCAACTTTATGAATAGCCCAGAATCATTGTCCAACACAGAGGAGGAGGATGAATCACTTAGGTGGGAAGGCTCTCAAAATAAGACTGGGAAAGAGCTGCAGCACCAAAGTAAAACCAGCCTTACTGATAATGGATAAGGTAAAGCTTTCAAGACCTCCATTTGCTGACATGGCACCACTCAAATTGAGGAGAAACAGCTGCAAACATCCATTAATAATTGGAACAAGGAATGTATTAAGTATGAATCTAGGAAAATTGGAAGTTGTCAAAAATGAAATGGAATGCGTAAAGATTGATATCCTAGGCATTAGTGAGCTGAAATGCACTGGTTTTGGCCATTTTAAATCAGACAACCATATGATCTACTATGCTGGGATTGATGATTTGAAGAGGAATGGCGTGACACTCATCATCACAAAGGATGTTTCAAGATCTGTCCTGAAGTGCAATGCTGTTAGTGATAGGATAATATCTATACATGTACAAGGAAGACCAGTTAATATGACTATTATTCAAATTTATGCACCAACCACCGAAGCCAAAGATGATGAAATTGAAGATTTTTATGAACTTCTGCAGTCTGAAATTGACCAAACATGCAATCAGGATGTGTAAATTATTACTGGTGACTGGAATGCAAAAGTAGGAAACAAAGAAGAATCACCAGTAGATGAAAAATTTGGCCTTGGTGACAGAAATAATGCTGGAGATCAGATGGTAGAATTTTGCAAGACCAATGACTTATTCATTGCAAGTACCTTTTTTCAACAACACAGATGGTGACTGTACACGTGGACTTCACCAGATGGAACACACAGGCATCAGACTGACTACATTTGTGGCAAGAGGTAATGCAAAAGCTCAATATCTTCAGCCAAAACAAGGCCAGAAGCTGATTGTGAAACAGACCATCAACTGCTCATATGCAAGTTCAACTTGAAGTTAAAGACAACTAAAACAAGTCCATGAGAGCCAAAATATGATCTTGATTATATCCCTCCTGAATTTAGAGACCATCTAAAGAATAGATTTGATGCATTGAACACCAATGATCGAAAACCAGAAGAACTGTGGGATGACATTAAGAACATCATACATGAAGAAAGCAAGAGGTCACTAAAAAAATGAGAAAAGAAGAGAAGACCAAAGTGGATGACAGAAGAGACTCTGAAACTTGCCCTTGAGCGGAGAGTAGCTAAAGCAAATGGAAGAAATGACAAGATAAAAGAGCTGAACAGATTTCAAAGAGCAGCTCGAGCAGACAAAGCCAATTACTATAATGAGATGTGCAAAGACTTCAAGTTAGAAAACCAAAAGGGAAGAACACGCTCAGCATTTCTCAAGCTGAAAGAACTGAGGAAAAAATATAAGCCTCGAGTTGCAATACCGAAAGATTCTATGGACAAAATATTGAATGATACAGGAAGCATCAAAAGAAGATGGCAGGAATACACAGAGTCACTGTCCCAAAAAGAACTAGTAGGTCTTCATACATTTCAGGAGGTGGTATATGATCGAGAA